TTTTTTTTTTTTTTTTTTTAAAGATGACTGGTAAGGGGATCTTAACTCTTGACTTGGTGTTATCAGCACCACGCTCACCCAGTGAGCTAACTGGCCATCCCTATATGGGATCCGAAATCGTGGCCTTGGTGTTATCAGCACCGCACTCTCCCGAGTGAGCCATGGGCCAGCCCCTCCATTGTTGCTTTTGAAGCTTGTTGTTATTTTCATGTTTATTGTTTTGAAGGGACTGGTCCTTTCCCCCATCTAGTTTTAAAGTTTTCTATTTGTCATTGGCATCCTCTAGTTTGCACTACAATGTATTTTAGTTAAATGAAATCCTTTTGTAAACCTCTTACTGTGAATATATTGTGCTTCTTGTATCAGTTTCTTTTTTTTAAAAAAAAAACTAGCTTTTGAAAATTTGCAGCCTTTTCCTCTTCAAATATTGCCTCTTCTAATCTCTTTAATCTCTCTTTCTGGCTAGTAGTTTGATGTGTTTACTGTTTGCTATAGCTATGGATTCAGAGATTAAAATGTCCTCAAGTGTTTTTATCTCTTCTGTTGTCTTTTAGGTTTCTTTTAGACTCCTTAAATAGGGCCTGAAGCTTGTGTTCTTTCAGCTGTAATCCTCTGTTATTATACAGGAGATTTACTGATGTAGTGGTAAGGTGTAGAAGGAGAGTAATAGTCCTATGTTTAGGTCTCAGTCTTTTAGTGAGCCTCCACTGGGTATTTCCCTACCCCAGGTTGAAGGATAGAGGGGGCTGGAGTTGTGTATTTCCCTTCTACCGGGTCTGTTAGGCTTTCATAAAACAGATGCTGTAAAATAGTTTCACTCGATGGCAGGATTTAGGAGAATATTATTTTTCCCAGCCTCCCGTTGGGAGCATGAGGGAATTTTTCTCCAGTCTTCACAGTGAGTACCTGGTGGGATTCCTGGAAGTAAAACTTAGGAGTGTGGGGCCCCTAAGAGTGGGCCCCCTTGGAGTTTTTAACTCTCAAGCTAATGTACACTGAGCCTCCAGCAATTTGTCAATTACAGTTTAAAGTGCTCCTACTGATAGAAATTCCAGCTATAGGCTTCTGTTACCTGTAAACTATGATTCTTCATATGTGCTTTTTTTGTGTTTGGAGCAGCAGTTTGTCTGTGACTTCACTTGTAAGAACAGGAGTGACAACTTTCATTCTGTTTACATGTTGGAGCAGAAACCGAAGTCCTGTTCTCTTTTTGAACTCTAATTTCATATTTTTTAAGCTTTCTTATTCTAACTTCCATATCTTTTACTATGTCATGTTTCCCATCTTTTTGAATCTCAGTGATGCATTTTGGCTAATTTCTGTGAGTATATTTTTCCTGTTCACTGATTTCATATGTGTCTGATCTACTGCCTAACTCATTCATCAAGATTTTTTCCTCCTACTACTTTGAGTTATAATTACAAACATTAAAATACCCAGATATTTAAGTATCCAGCTTTAACTAATTTTGATAAAGGTGTACACCTGTGTAACCAGCGCCTAGCTCAAGATATAGAGCAATTCCATCACCCCAGGAAGTTTCCTTTTCCCATTTTCAAGTCAATTGGAAACTACCAACCAGACTTTCAATATAGTTGTACCATTTACACTTTGCCAGTAAGAGTTCCAGACACTCCACATTCTTTCCAACATTTGGTTGATTATTTTTTAAAAAGTTTAGCTGTTTTTGTGGGTGTGTGTTACATTGAAAGTTTGGTTGGTTTGTATTTAGAACCTTCATTTCTAGAAGTTCTGTGTTTTTTGTTTTTTCAAATCTGAATGTTAGACTTTTGTTACATGCTTATCTTTATGAATACCTCCTTTATTTCTTAAGGGTCTATATAGTTTGTTAACATAGGTAGTTTTTTGGTGTTTGATAAATTTGTACTGTGAGTACTCAATGCCTTGGGTTTTTTTTTTTGTTTTTTTTTTGCCTTTTGTCTTTTTCCGTGTCCGGCAACGGATCGCAACCCTCAGTGTTGCCCCCGTACCGGATCGGGACCGGCTACGGAATCGCAACCCTCGGTGTTGCTCCCGCACCTCGCTCACTGTGGCTACGGGATCACAACCCTCGGTGTTGCTCCCGCACCTCGCTCAGCCAGTGAGCAGGAACCGGTCTGTATGTGGGATCCGAACCCTCGGGCGGGAGCGCCGCCATGCTTCCCAAGCGGCGCACTACAGTGCGCCACCGGGCCGGCCCAGTACTCATATTCTTGATTACTGTCATAACCAAATTCTTATTTGCCTCTCACATTTTTTTTTGTCCTTTTTGGGACTGGCCGCACCGCGCTCAGCCAGTGAGCTCTGTGAGCGAACCGGTCATCCCTATATAGGATCCGAACCCGCGGCGGGAGCGCTGCTGCGCTCCCAGCGCCGTACTCTCCCGAGTGCGCCACGGGCTCGGCCCTGCCTCTCACATTTGACTAACTCTTCTTGGTAACAGATTTTCTTCTCACTTGAAATAACTTCCTTTTCCGCATATGTAATATAAATATTTTAACTAAGAAGACTCCTTCTTTATAATATTACTCATTTTTTCTCATATAGGTCTGTTTATCTTTCAGTTGGAATGCTGTCTTCAAAAATAAATGTAGAATCTGTAGGGTTACTTCAAGCTGCTAGATTGTGATATTAATTTAGAATTGACCAAGATTAATATATGTGTTTATGTATGTGTGTATATATGTGTTTTTGACAAGCCCAAACTTTAAGTACACAGTATAAACAGTTAAATCTGAAAAAAATAATTCTTTTGAAGTTTTTCTTTGAGTGTCCTAACAGAGTATTTCTTTAAATTCATATTTCTTTAAATGTAAGTAACAGAATAAATACGGTAGAAATCAATTTAGAAAATTGGCATTTTGTTTTACTGTATACATTTCCATCTTGTTGCAGTTGTAAGTCTTACAGGTTTTATTTTTGTCCTCTCCTTTAGGCAATCCTTTATCACAGGATATTCTCAACTTATACCAGGACCCAGATGGAACCCGAAAGCTACTGAACTTCATGCTTGACAATCTTGCAGGTAAGTATTAACGATAAAGCAGTAAAGCAAACTCTACAGATATTATTACCAGCTAATTGTTAGTATCCCATGTTGCTCAAGAGCATGTAGCCATTTTTTATAATTGTTGACAAGTTCGTAATTCCTGCCGTTAGTATATTCCATGGTAGTCAGACAGTATTCTTTTCATATAGTACTGAGTGCTTTCTATTTACAAAGCCCTATGCTAGGAGCTTTAGCTATGTTATTTTGTTTTATCTTTCTAGGAACCTATGAGGTAGGATTTTTTACTAACATTTTACAGATATAAATTCTGACATTCAGAGACTAATTTACAAACAGCTAATTAATGTCAGAGCTATGAACCTAAGTTTGCCTTGCTCTTAATCACAAACATAAATGAGAGAATCTCAAAACATTCATGGAAAAATAGAATTAAAAGATAATACAGTCTTTCTGTGAAGTTTTTGTTTTGGTGGCTGGCCAATATGGGATTCTGAACCCTTGTCCTTGGCGTTACAACACTGTGCTCTAACCAACTGAGATAATAGGCCAGCCCCCTCTATGAACTTTTTGAAGACCCCTCGTATAGTTGTTTGAATTTGATCCAAATTACTTGGAAACCACACATCTGACACCTATTTTATGAATGAAATGTCAGTTTGATTCACTCCACATTTGTGAAAAATTTTCAAGCAGGCTTTTGAGTAATAACATTAGGGTTATCTAACTAAAATAGTAATATTCCAAATGGAAGATTTTTTTATACAAGGGTACTTCAAAAAGTTTATGGAAAAGTAGTATTAAGAGATAATATGAATCTTTCCATGAACTTTTTGAAAACCTCTTGTATACTAAGGCTTAGTATTCAACTTAATTTTTCTTGTGTGTTTGCTTAAGTACTCAAAATGTGGGTAAAATTGTAGCGGTACTACTAAATTGAGATATTTTTCTTAGAATAATACCTTTCTAAAATACAGAATTCTGAAACAGCTAGAGAAATCTAAAGTTCCAGCATAAAGACCATAATCACAATATTTTGACTGTACTCTTTTTTTAATTCTCTCCATCATAAAAGATATACCTATCTACTCCTTCCGTCTAACACAAATAAGGTTTACAATAAGGTAAAACAAAATTAATATTATCTGAAATGTTTTTGGCTAAAAAGACTAAAAAGTTGATGGATGGAAGAGAAGTAAGTAAATCTTACAGAAGTTTTTTAAGTAAGGATTTAGGAATATGTGTCAGTTTAATTAAACTGTGTACATAACTTGTGTATGCCATTTCCAACTTGCTTTAAAATTAAATATTTCTCTTGTCAGTATAGATGTAGCCAGTTGACCCAGCCATATGGCATGTGTGTGATATGTGTGTGTAATTTTTAAGAAGTTCTTCATATATTTTAGATATAAGCTGTCTGTTGGTACATGTGTTGCAAATACTTCAGTTTATCAACCTTTTTTGTTAGGGTACTGCTTTTGTGTCTTCTTCAAGGATTTTTCCCTACCACATGATCATGAGTGTGTTCTCTTATGTTATTATTTAGAAACTCTGATTTTTTACTTGCAACATTTAGAACTATAACCTTCCTGGAATTAATGTTTGTGCAAGGTAGGAGTTAAGTTTCATGACTTTTCCATATGTATATTGTATTGACACTGAGTTTTCTTCTATTAGTCTTTATGGTACTGTTGTTATACTTTCTGGCAGTATTGTTTTGTCTCTAGTTATGGTAGCTTTATAAAAAAGTCTTTGAGATCCAGTATAGTACATCTTCTGCCTTGATCTTATTTTAAAGAGTCTTGACTACCTTTGGCTCCTTGCTTTATTTACCTTGTACTTTTATTAAAATTTTTAGAATCAGGTTTTTAAATCTCTACCCTCTGCAAAATGTAGGGATTTTATTTGGGAATATATTGAATCTATAGGTTGCTTTGGAAAGAATTGACATGTTTACAAACCTCAGTCTTATTCTTCCATTTATTGTGCCTTCTATAAGTTCTCTGAGTATTGAGTTTAGGTTTCTAGTAGTGGTCTTGCACATTTTATATTACATTTATTTTAAGTTTTGCCTTTTTAATGTTTTTATAAATAGTCTCCTTAAAAATAAATCTTATGATTTTAATGGTTGTTACTGATTTATGGAATACAATTGAATTTTGTATATCTATTGGTATTCATCCAACTTGCTAAACACTTGCTACTAAATGCCATGCTAAAATACATATTCAACTACTTTGCTAAACTGCTTTTAATCCTAATACATTTTTATTTCAATTTGTACAATCATATAACCTGCAAATAATGACAATTTTATTACTCTCCTTTCAATCCTTACTATTTAAATTTATTTTTCTTATTGCACTTGCTAAGGCCACCAGTAAAATGCTAACTGAAAGTGGTGGTAATGGGCATCTTTGTCCCATAATTTATTATCAGTTAACATTTTACAATTACGTATGGTGTTCATTAAAGTTTTTTTTTTTTTTTCCCTTTTTGTCTTTTTTCCGTGTCCGGCAATGGATCGCAACCCTCAGTGTTGCGCCCGTATGTTTTTTTTTTTTTCCCTTTTTGTCTTTTTTCCGTGTCCGGCAATGGATCGCAACCCTCAGTGCTGCGCCCGTATGGGACCGGGACCAGCAACGGGATTGCAGCCCTCGGTGTTGCGCCCACACCTCGCTCAGCCAGTGAGCAGGAACCGGTCTGTATGTGGGATCCGAACCCTCGGCGGGAGCGCGCCGCCGCACTCCCAAGCGGCGCACTGTAGCAGTGCGCCACCGGGCCGGCCCTAAAGTTTTTATGTAGATAAACTTTATCAGATTAAGGAAATTTTCTTCTATTCCTAGGTTGCTAGGAGATTTTTAAAAATGTGAGTAGATATTGAATTTTGTCAAATGTTTTTTCTCTATCAAGATATGGATGATTTTTATTCTTGATTTTGTTAATATGGTAATTATGTTGGTTGTTTTTCATATGTTAGAATACCTTTGTATTCCTGGAATAAACTCAAATAAGTTATAACATATTGTACTGTTATCCTTTTTATATATCCCTAGATTCAGTTTGCTAATATTTTACTTAAGATTTTTTGCATCTGTGTTTATGAGTGAGATTGGCCAATGATTTTCTTCCTTCAGTGTGCTTGTCAAGTATTGATATTAATATTATATTGGCTTCATAAAATTTGTTGAAGCATTTTCTCCTTTTTTATGTTTGGGAGTTTATTGTTTTAGCGTTTACAAAGATTGATATGTTTCGTTTCTTAAATGTTTGGTAGAATACATCTGGGCCTGGGTTTTCTTTGTAGGAAGTTTTAAAATACTGAATTAATTTCTTCAATAACTATAGTACTATTTTGATTTACATTTCTCTCTCAGTTTCTGAAAGTTGTGTTTTCTGGAATTTGACCATTTTACCTTAATCTTTAAATTCATTAGCATAAAATTGCTCAAAATATCTTCTTATGATATTTTAATATTCCTAGGCCATATAGTGATGTCTCTTTCCATTCCAGATATTAGTTTGTGTTGCCTCTGTTTACTTCTTGTGAAGTCTTGCAGAGGAATTTATCAGTATTTTCTTTGGGAAAAAAAAGAAATAACTTTTATCTTTATTGGTCTTCCTCATTATGTGTTTGTTTTCAATATCATTTCTTATTTTTATTTTTTCATTCTTTCTGCTTTCTTTGGGTTTCATGTACTGTTCTTTTTATAGCTTAGGATGAGCACCTAAATAATTAATTTCTAATTTTTCTTTTTCCCCCAATGTATTCATTTATAAATCTCCCTCTAAACATGGCATTTAGTTGCATCGCACAAGTTTTAATTTGTATTATTTTTGTTATAATTTAATTCAGCATGTTTTCTAATAGCCCTCATCATTTCTTCTTTGACCTTTGAGTTGCTGAGAAGTTTATTTCTTTATTTTCAGGAGAGTTTCCTTTGTCATAGATTCCTTGCTGAATTCCATTGTTGTCAGAGAACATTCTGATTTAAATATTTAAAATGTGTTATTTATTTACAGCACATGCTTAATTTTTGTGAATGTTATGTGTGCACTTAAAGTCTGTGCCTTCTGAAGTTGTTTGGTGCAGTATTTAGTTGGTTATTTTGTTGTCTGTGTTATATATACTTAATGATTATTTATGCAATTCATTATTGAGAGAGCTATATTAAAATCTCCCATTTTGATTGTAGATTTGCTTATTTCTTGTAGTTCTTTCAGCTTTTAAATTATATATACTAAAGGGTATATTTTTATGTGTTTTATTTTCCTGGTTGTTTAAACCTTTTGTTTTTGTGCTGCTCTTTAAAATTTACTTTGGTATTACTATAGCTGTATGAAAAAAATAGCTACATGACTTCTCCTTTGGTTTGAATTTTAATTGTATATCTTTTTCTTTTCTTTTATGTTTAACCTTTTTATCTCTGTATCTTATTATTTCCTTTCTCCTACTTGCTTTGGGTTTATTTTGTTCTTTTTTTTTTGTTTGAGATGGACACTTAGATTATTGACTTGAGAATTTTTTTCTTTTTTTAATGTAAGCATGCAGCACTATAAATTTGCCTGTCAGCAAGCTACACCCCATAAGTTTTGATATGTTATATTTTTATTTTCCTTTAGTTCAGTGTTGTTATTTTAATTTTCTTTGAGATTTCCTGTTTGATTCATGGATTATTTAGAAGTGTATTATTTAATTTACAAGTATTTTAAGTTTTTCCAGTTGTCTTTCTGTTGATTTATTATTTGATAACAATTTGGGACCAGTTAGGAAACATATTCTGCATTATTTCAGTTCTTTTAAATGTGTTGAGGTCTGTCTTATGACCCAGGATATTGTCAAGCTTGGTGAATGTTCTGTGAGTTCTTGAGAAAAATGTATATTCTATAGTTGTTGGGTGAAATATTCTAGAAACGTTTATTAGATCATGTTGGTTCTTAGTATGCGATTCTTCTATATCTTTTCTAATTTTCTACATAATAGTCCTATCAAATGCTGATACTGGGGTGTTGGAATTCCCAACTATAATTATGGGTTTGTTTGTTCCTCCTTTCAGTTCTGTCAGTTTTTGCTTTAGATATTTTTAAGGTCTGTTGTTTGGTATATACATGTTTAGGATTGCTACATCTTAGTGGATTGATCATTTTATCATTATGTATTTTTCTTTGCCCTGAAATCTACTTTATCTGATATTAATATAGCTACTCTCCTTTTTTTTGGTTGATGTTACCATGCTGTATCTTTTTCATCCTCTTACTTTCAACTTTCCTATATTGTATTTGAAATGAATTTCTTGTAGTTAACATAGAGTTAAGTCACGTGTCATTATTATTCATTTTGCTAAGATTCTACTGTCTTTTAATTTGTGTATTTAGAAAATAATAGATACCTACACCGAGCAACAGATGTTATTATAATTTTTGCTTCAGCCATCACATATGATTTAAGAAACTGATGGGGGAAAGGATGATCTATTATATTTCCTCCTCCTGATTTTACCCATTCTTTGTTCTTTCCTTTTTGATGTTCTATTTGTTCTTCTGTTATATTTTCCTTGCTGTTCAGTGAGCTTTCTTTAGCCATTGTTTAAGGGCTGGTCTCCTAGTGGTAAAGTCTTAGTTTTCCCTTGTCTGTTAACATCTTTAATTCCCCTTGATTTCTGAAGGGTAATTTTGCTGAAATCAGAATTTGCAGTTGATAGTTCTTTTCTTTTAGCCCTTGAAAAATGTACCACTTCCTGGGCTTTCATGGTTTCAGAAAAGAAATCTGGTGTCCTTCAAATTGGTGTTCACCTGTAGGTAATGCATTGTCTTTCTCTGATGCTTCTAAGGTTCTTTCTTTAGTTTTCAGAAGTTTAATTATGATATGTCTTGGTGTGGGTTTCTCTGAGTTTATTATACTTGAAGTTTGCTCACCTTCTTGAATTTGCAGGTTTATGTTTTTCATTTAAATTGGGAAATGTTCAGCTGTTATCTCTTAGAATACTTCTTCAGCCTCATGTTCTTTCTGCTCTCCTTCTGGAACTTTGATGGTATGAATTTAGATCTTTTGTTATCATCAAAATTCTTCAAGCTCTGTTCATTTTTTTCAGTCTATTTTCTTTTTGTTTAGATTGACTAAGTTCTATTAATTTGTTCTCAGGTTCACTGATTTATCTCTATTATTGTGTCCTTCCAATAAGTTTTAAAATTTTGGTTATTGTATTTTTCAGTTTGATAATTTCTGTTTGGTTTGGTTCTTTTTTAAAAAAACAAAACAACACACTATTTCTTTCTGCTGGGGTTTTCTAGTTTTTCATTTGTTTTAAGGGAATTTATAATTTTTTATTTAAGCAGTTTTATGATGGCCACTTTAAAATCTTTGTTAGAAATCTCTACATCTTATTCATCTCAGTATTGTGTCTGTTGATAGTCTTTTCTGATTTAAGTTGTGATTTTCTTGGTATGACTAGTGATTTTTATTTGTACTCTGAACATTTTAGATATTATGTTAGGAGACTCTTGATCTTTTTAAAATCTTTAACTTTAGCATACAATTGCCCTTTAATGTTTAGGTTTAACATGTAGGTTTTGTTGCCCCTTCCAGGCTCAGCTGACATGCTGACTGTGGGCAGATCAAACCAACTGCAGCTAGGCAGTGTGAGGTGTGGGATGGGTTGTCTCTCTCTGGCTTTCCTGGAGATGTTCCCTTTGACAGATTAGGTCACAAATATATTTATTTTATGTTATAGTAGCCTATATAACTCTTTATTCCTTTCTTTTCTCATATCATTGGCCATGCAGTTTCATCTTTAAAAAAATGATTTTAAGTGTACGTTTCACATGGATATATTGTCTTCTTTGTTAAAAAAAAAAAAAAAGAAAGAAAGAAAGGGGGCCGGCCCGGTGGCGCACTGCTACAGTGCGCCGCTTGGGAGCATGGCGGCACTCCCGCCGAGGGTTCGGATCCCACATACAGACCGGTTCCCGCTCACTGGCTGAGCGAGGGGCGGGCGCAGCACCGAGGGTTGCGATCCCGTTGCTGGTCCCGGTCCGGTACGGGCGCGACACTGAGGGTTGCGGTCCGTTGCCGGACACGAAAAAAGACAAAAAAAAGAAAAAGAAAGAAAGAAAGGAAAAGAAAAGAAAAGAAAAAAATTTTTGACCACTACCTTTAATTCCAGTCCGCTTCATATAGGTAATTACACTTGTAAGTTGGGTGTATATCCTTGTGCTTTCTGGTGGGTATTTATATACAAAAATTATACCAGTAGAAATTTTATACTATTGCTGTTACTGTGTGGTTTTTAAATTTTCTAATAAAATATATCACATTTTATCATGTCTGTTCTTTTCACTCAACAGTACTGGGATATCTTTTCACTTTAACACATACATATCTTTTTTCTTTTAAACTGTATTGTAGACATTTACTGTTGCTTTTGCTACTATAAACAATGGTGTAGTGAATATCTTTTTGAATGCTGCTTTAAGCAGGTAGAGCTGAGTCCAGGAAATAGAATTGCTAGGTCTTAGGGCCATGGATGTTTTAAATTTTAGAAGATGATGTCAATTTGTTCTGTAGATAGCTGTACTCATTAATATCCCCACCAGGTAGACATGCAAATAGCTGTTTCTTATCACCATCATCAACCCTTGATATTACTTTTTTTTTTTTTTTTTTTGTCTTTTTTTGTGACCGGTAAGGGGATCGCAACCCTTGGCTTGGTGCCGTCCACACCGCGCCCAGCCAATGAGCGCACCGGCCATCCCTATATAGGATCCGAACCCGCGGCGGGAGCGCCACTGCGCTCCCAGCTCTGCACTCTCCCGAGTGCACCATGGGGCCGGCCCAACCCTTGATATTATTAAACTTAAAAATTTTGTGTCAACTTGGGTAAAAAAATACTATCTCATCTTTTTAATTTCCCTGGTTACTGGTAAGATAACTTTTATATGTTTTTGGCTCTTTGGTTATGTTGTTGAATACTATGTATTTTACTTGTACTGATACATTGTGATGTGTTAGTTAATATTTGGGAAGCACCGAAATGTAGAAATTATCTTACTTTGTATTATTTTGAGGAGTTTCTTAATTTTTGAGTTTTTAACCAAGCCACCTTAGGTAGATTTTGCTAATATGGATGTCAACAGCTGGAAAGTTCTTTGTTTACTCTTATCATTACACAGTGTGAACAAGATATACAAATGGCCAACAGACACATGAAAAAATGCTCAACATCACTAAGCATCAGGAAAATGCAAACCAAAACCACATTGAGATATCATCTTACATCAGTTAGACTGACCGTTATAAAGACAGAATAACAAATGCTGGTGAGGATGTGGAGAAAGGGGAACCCTTCTACAGTGTTGGTGGAATGGTAATTTAATGCAGCTGTTATGGAAAACAGTATGGAGTATCCTCAGACATCTACAGATAAAACTTCCATACAATCCAGCAATCCTGCTGCTGGGTGTATACCCAGAGGAATGGAAATCACCATCTTGAAGGGATACCTGCACTCCTATGTTTATCGCAGTTCTGTTTACCATAGCTAAGAGTTGGAACCAACCTAAATGTCTATCAATGGACGACTGCATAAGGAAAATGTAGTATATATACACAATGGAATACTACTGCCATAAAAACAGGAATGAAATTCTGTCATTGGTAGCAACATAGATGTAATTAGAGAAGATTATGTTAAGTGAAATAAGCCAGGTACAGAAAGAGAAATATTGCATTTAGTCATTCATAAGTGGGAGCAGAAACAAAAACAAAAGAAGAAAGAAAGACTTGTTTATTGTATAATCTATTTCTGTATTTGGCTTTCCATTTTTGAAACAGTTGCCAAAATTCTAGCATGTTACTCCTAGCCAGCATGATTACTTTCTTGTATTCAGTATACTGAATCAGCTGGATGATTTGTTTGTCATCTTATGATAACCTTCATTCTTTCCTGGCAAGATATGTAATATGTGAAATAATGTTCATTTCTCTCTGGGAAAAGTATGGCTGTTGAAACATAATAGTATACTTTGGGTAGTCTTTTGAAACATGAAAATAGTGCAGTGCTTTCCTTTTTTCTATACAATGTATTTCTATTCTTACCTCTTGCTTTGCATTGACATTATCAAAGAGAGTATGGAAATGAAAGACCCATTAGAAAATTCAGTAATTTTTATTATACATATAAGTGCGTCTTGTTTGTTTGTTTGTTTGTTTGTTTGTTTCTAGTTTAAAGATGTTTGAGTGTTTCAGTTCATCATTGTGTTGGAATCTCACATAGCTTTGATTTCCTAGCAGGGAAAAAGGCTGAGTCAACATAATTTACATATGTAATTAAGACACAGGTTTTACTTAAGATTTTAAATAGGTACTTTTCATAAATATCGTAGAAGTAGAAATGCCATCAGTGAGTTTCTTAATATCCTTTTCTTATATTAGGTCTGTGTTCTCTGCATAACTCTTCTTAAATTTCCTTTGGCTTCTAAATATTCATTAAGTTATTAGATTTTTGAGTCAGTTTGTGAGCAATTACAGCTGAATAGAAAATAGAGATTGACTTGACATTATAAACTAAATGATACTGATTTTAGAAACATGTGAAATTAACTTATGTTTACAAAATATTTTTTCAGTACATCCAGAGCAGCTTCCTCCGAGGCCATGGATTACGTTAAAGGAACGAGACCAAATTCTGCCATCAGGTAAATAGTTTTCCAGTTCTTTTTTGACTTTTTTCAGAAATACTTAAAATGCAATTTGAGCTTCGTGATCTATAATTTAACAGGCCTTCATTTTACCTCCCATGGGTATATTAGTTTAAAAATACTGATGGATAGACTTAAAAAAAGTTTAAGTTCACACTAAGATAAGCCTATGTACAAGTATCTTGTATCTTTCACGGTGATGCAGCTCTTGGTTTTAAAATTATTTCTTGTAATACAGCTTTCCAAATGGCATATTCACAACAGGGTATTAGGTGATTTTTAGTAAAAATGAATTTTCTTCTGAAAAATTTTAAACTACTTAGGTACTTTATCTTTCTTGAGAGGTAGACTAGTAACACTTACCAGAAGCATTATTTAGACTAGGTATATATTTACTGCATTGGCAACAAAATATGATACCAGTCCAGGGGTGTAGAAATGGTACAGAGTGAATATTTAAGCAATGTAAGGAGATAAGCTAGTATTTTTAGAACTATGGTAAGGTAGAAAATATAAAACTTTATCTCTTTGTGGGGGCCAGTAACAGTTTGGCATTTGTAGGGCTTCTTACTATGTATTAGACATTTTAGGCTTGGGAATTCTACTTAAAATAAGCTATGAATTATTGTTTCTCCAAATGCATTTTTTAAAAAGATTGCAAGCGTAATAATATTTATGATATCTAATTTTATTTTTAAATTAAATGAAAATTTTAACATGAAGGAAAATTTTAACTGAATTTTAATATGAATTTTAACTGAAAATTTTAATATGAAGGTTAAATCAGTCACGGAACACTGCTACTTTAGTAATTTTTAAAGGGTAAATCACAGAATTTATTATGCACATTTTGAACAATATAAAGCCCTTCGGTTTGTGAATTTTGGGCTTTTTGTTGTTACGAAATAAGAAGATTCAGAACAAATCATTTGTTTTGGTATTGGGAAGTGTGGGAAGTGTAACTTCTTTATGGTTCTATTTGCATTTTAATAACACTAAGAAATATATATATAATACATTTTTGTGTCTTCCAGAGGTAATTTTTAAACCACCACACTCTAGAGCCACAGTATCAACCTGTTATAGGAGGCACTATGTCAATAACACTCTATTATCAGGATGTACATTGATATTCAAATAAAAGGAATACCTGATAAAGTTTTCTACAAAGTCTTAAGTTAGGTGGATTTATTTTATCCTTAGCCTTCTCTAGTGTGAATTAATTATTCCTTTTCTGATATTATAAGCACCATTTTCAAGTTATTCAAAGTAATCCCTATTTGCACATGAGAAAACATAATCGTGAGGAAAAGCTTTCTTAAGATTGAACAGCTACATTTCTGGTGAGAAAAGGAGAAACAAAAACAAGTTTTATTAGATACTTAACTCTCAAAGTAATGTGTTCTTAGGTTTTTCATCATTGAAAAACTAGTATGGATTTTTCTTGAAATGTATGGTGTTTCCTTAGTTGAATCTGAATGCTTAAAAAAAAAATATTAAGAATGCATTATGCTTGCTTTGGTAGCACATATGTGGAAATTGGAATGATGCAGAGAAGATTAGTGTCACCCCTTAAAAAAAATGCCCTTTACTTCTGATGCATAGGGGGAGGTGTGTAATAGCTAATGTAATTAAGTGTGATTTATAGCCAGAAAACCATTATGATAAACTATGTAGGAATCAAGCCCAGATAGTGAAAAAGGTTCCAGATAGAAACAGAGTATAGAAGAGTAGTGATAATAGTGATTTGGGTAATTTTCACTTCTGTTTAAAAATTGGTGGTTTGGGCCGGCCTGGTGGTGCACTGCTATAGTGCGTCGCTTGGGAGCGCAGCGGCGCTCCCGCCAAGGGTTCGGATCCCACATACAGACTGGTTCCCGCTCACTGGCTGAGTGAGGTGCGGGCGCGACACTGAGGGTTGCGATCCCATTGCCAGTCCCGGTCCGGTACGGGCGCGACACTGAGGGTTGCGATCCATTGCCGGACACGAAAAAAGACAAAAAGGAAAAAAAAAATTGGTGGTTTGGGCCGGCCCGGTGGCGCACTGGAGAGTGCGCTGCCTGGGAGTGCGGCGGCGCTCCCACCGAGGGTTCGGATCCCATGTGGAGACCGGTTCCCGCTCACTGGCTGAGCGCGGTGCGGGCGCAACACCGAGGGTTGCGATCCCGTTGCTGGTCCCCGGTGCGGGCGTGACACCAAGGGTTGCGATCCCGTTACCAGTCAGTAAAAAAGATAAAAAGGAAAAAAAAAAATTGGTGGTTCATTCTCAGGCATTGGTACCAATATAAACAGTTTTGTATATAACGTAGAAATTGCAATCTCTAGCCTTCTGTATAAAATCCCACTTCACAAAGTCTTAGAAAAAATCTGAATGAAGCAAATGACAACCTGCCTTTCCTTTTTTCCCCTTACTTCCAAAGGACATTTCAAATACAGAGAAGCAGAGTAAGGTGAACTTAAGGTGCTCACTTCACAGTGTGTAGAGGCTTATAAATGTTTCTGGGTCATTTCCAAAATAAATAATTAGAGAACACGTATCAACTCAAACTGAAATTTAGCCTCCAGTGTACAAAATGGCCACCATTCAGACTCCCAGGGAAACAGTGAACTGAGTCTTTCTTAATACTATACTTTTCCCATCTTCTGAAACTGAACCAACATCAAGTGTCACTTCACCTTGGATTCCTCACATTTTATTTAAATAAATGATTCTGAACAATGTCTGCCCTGGGATGCTAGTAATCAACAGGGATGCTTTTTGAAAATATGAATACCCAGATCCTAATATTCTGACTTAGTCTGCAGTCAGGCCCTTGGTATCAGCATTTTTAGAAAAAGCTACACAAAGTGATTCTAATGGGGCAACCAGGCTAGAGAGTTATAGATAAAAATTAGGGTTTTTCAGACTTCAGCGTGCATGTGCATATGAATCAAACTTGGGGAGTTTGTAAAACCTGCAGATTAGTTTTCTCACAGACCTTTTATAATTCAAGGATATTTTAAAATGAGAATTTTATTTTAGAAATGAACATTTTATGGGCAGAAAGGATTGTCTTATAACTAACCTTTGTTAGTTCCTACTCTCTGGCTCAGAGTAGTGAGAACAGTAAGACGTCCAAAAAAGTATTAAGTATGGATATGTTGTTAATAAAAAGTAATGAAATTAGACCTCTTTAATTAGAATGAAACTAAAATTTACTTTTCTTTCATTTATACAGAGAAGCTTTTCCCAGCAAATGACATGCAAAAAATAAGCACTGATTTAAAATTTTAATTTTTTATTCATTAAAATAAAATTTTTCAAAAATTTGAAATATATTGGGCCGGCCCGGTGGCGCACTGCTACAGTGCGCCGCTTAGGAGCGCGGCGGCGCTCCCGCCGAGGGTTCAGATCCCACATACAGACCGGTTCCCGCTCACTGGCTGAGCGAGGTGTGGGCGCAACACCGAGGGTTGCGATCCCGTTGCTGGTCCGGTCCGGTGCGGGCGCGACACTGAGGGTTGCGATCCGTTGCTGGACACGAAAAAAGACAAAAAGGAAAAAAAAAAATTTCAAATATGAACTTTTAGTCTAATTCTAGACTAGTTAGTAAGATAACTTTGGTATGATGGACTCTAATGAAATTTTATTAGATATAGTTCAACAAAATCTTAATTTTGCCCTACGTATTTTATAATCATGTTGTTTGGAGTATGTGTACAGGTGCTTTAGAATAAGTTGCCTAATTTTCTTCCTTTTGTCTGTTGTTTTTTCTCCCACTTCTTAGCATCATTCACGGTTATGTGTTACAATGTGTTATGTGATAAATACGCCACCCGGCAGCTATATGGCTATTGCCCATCCTGGGCATTAAACTGGGAATACAGGAAAAAGGGAATTATGGAAGAAATTGTTAACTGTGATGCAGATATCATTAGTCTTCAGGTAAAACTATAGAAATTAAATTGTCTTTAACTTAAAGGTGAACTTAAAAATAATAGGTTTTATTTTGGAGAGAGATCCTGTGTTCAAAGCCAAACTGAAAAGGAATTATTTTCTCTTCTGAAAAAGAAAGGACAATTTTAATAAGCCTTTAATATATTTCCATAGTGAAATCATTTTTCTGAGTATAGCTGTCCACTTACATTTATTTACTACTTTGTTAAGTGAAAATAATCTCACTCATTATCTATGTTAACAGTTCATCTCATAAACCAATTATTGGTATTGCAAAAAGAGAAAACTACAAAAGATCGTGCCACTCTTTCAGGAATCTGAATTTAACTTACAATTTAGTTTGCGGGGGGAAAAAAAAAAAGTACTTTCCCACAATTGTTCCTTAAAGATAAACATTTAAAAATATTACGGTATAAATCATTCATTTTTGCCTCTGAAATTTAGACTCTTCTGTTTTATAATTCTTTATTATAATGAACTTAACTGAAGAAGCACCTTAAGTGCTTAAAGGTGGTGGTGTAGATTTTTTTAATTGACAAATAATAATTGTATGTATTTATAAGTTACAGTGTGATGTTTCAATACATATATACATTGTGGAACAATCAAATTAGGCTAATTAACTTACCCATCATCTTAAATACTTACTGATTCTTAAAGGTGTTTTAAAATTTTAAGTGTTGTATTTTTGCACATTCTTTTTGGCATAGCCTGAGAAGAAAAATTATTACTTTAAAACATTTTTTTGTAGTAGAGTGGCATGATAATTTATTTATATGTTGCCTGGGAAATAACAAGAAGTAAAAAAATCCTCAAAAACTGAATTTCTTCTAAACATTGAGACTGACACAGAACTGGGGGGAGAAAGAGACAAAATTAGGCTGTTGTAGTTGCTAATTTGTCCACCTTTTGGTTTAGTATTTGTAGTAATAACATCATCACACCTTTTGAAATGTAGTTTGAGGTATAAAAATATTATAATTTAAGGAAATTGTTTTTTATTATAAGAGTAATACTATATTATAAAGTGTTCAAGAGAATTTGATAATTTTGTAAAAATATAATTCATGATGGAGGAAAACACCCAATTCTATATCCCAAAGATAGTTGCTATGTTAAATCCTCCGGTGTTAAACCAAAACAAAAACTTCTGGAGTATTTTCTTCTACACAGTTTCTTTTTATTCAATTACCAATTTAGTTACAGATAAATTTCAAAATACAGTTGAAATCACACTATTGGAATATTTTGTATCTTGCATTTAATGCGTTTTCCATGTTACTAAAATTCTTGAAAACCCATTAGTTATATGAGTGTGTATTAATTGATGTAGCCTTCTCCCTGCCATTGGACATTTAGTTTATGGGATTTTGCTGTTATTAAGGTCATGCTGTTATGAGCATCTTCATACATAAATCATTATCTTCATATTTGATTATTTCATTTCGAAAGATTTGCTAAAAATATTTCATGGGTTAAAGAATAAAATAGACTAACTTAATAATTACTAAATTAACAGAAAGCATTGGATGATTGGTATTTAGTTACCTAGAAATTTCTTAAAGTAGAATTTTTTTGTTGATAGATTTTATGTTTCTCACTGTTGGGTATCATTCCTTTTCACTACACTTCAGAAGGATAAATGATTTTTTAAATTACCTCTTTATACAGGTTGAGTATCCTTTATCCATAATGCTTGGGACCAGAAGTGTTGTGTACATTGTACCATCAAAAAGAAATGGTATCAGTATCTCAGCCACCCATGTGGGACAATCTGTGGTTGTGTGGCATGCCCATCATTCCTGACCCTGAATTTATATGCTACCAATAGGCTATCATTTTCTTACATTTATTCACGCATAACCATTTAACAATAAAAAATAAGGCATACCATTAATACAGTGAAAAAATATGTTCACAGTAACTAATCAGCCACAGTAGCGTCACCAGAATACCTGGGGATGCTGAATAAACTGAGTGTTGTGTGCCTGTGTTTTGACTGCAACCCGTTGCATGAGGTCAGGTGTGGAATTTTCCACTTGTGGTGTCATGTTGGTGCTAAAAGTGTTTTGGATTTTGGAGCATTTCAGATTTTCAGACTAGGGATGCTCAACCTGTATATAAAATTTACTTTTCCCTACCACATAATGTATCATACACTCAACTTACTTTGTTTAATCACCAGTCTTGAGGAAGTGATATATAGTGGAATCAAATCTAAATTGGGAGTCAAGAGACTTGGGATGTAATTCTGCTGCTGTTACTAACTAGCTGTGTGAGCATGAGAAAATCATGTCACTTTTTGGTTCTTTCATGTTTAAAAAGCTGCCATGGCAGCTGATAGCAATAAGGTAAGATGGATATGTGAATTATTTTAACTTAATCACAATTTACTCAAATGCTGAACATTTTTATATCTTAATCAGAGTTTTCCTCTGTCATGTAGATGGTAATTTTTCTTTTATCTCAGGAAGTGGAAACAGAGCAATACTTCACTCTCTTTCTGCCAGCATTGAAGGATCGTGGATATGATGGATTTTTTTCTCCAAAGTCACGTGCCAAAATCATGTCTGAGCAGGAAAGAAAGCATGTGGACGGTTGTGCAATATTCTTCAAAACAGAAAAGTGAGTTAAGGAAACAAAGCACAATAAAGTAAACTTATTCCTTTTAATTACCACACATGTAAAACTGTTTTGGGTTTGACCCTATATAATAAACAAAAAGCTAGAAAAAAAGTATTATACAAATTGAAACTGTTGTTAGACTGTGTATTGGAAACAAGGATATTTATTGTATTATTTTTTGTGCTTTTGTTACCAAATTACACTAAAAATATAGACTTGAATACGGTCTTATAATCATATTTCAAAATATATTTTTATAAAGTAAAATATTAGTTTTGGTGGGGGGAAGTGGTACCTTTTAAAATTAACAATAAGAGATCTGGGTTTCTTTCTGTGATTTTTTTTTTTTTCTTTTTTTGATAGTTGGCCTTTTTCAGAGTCATTCATTTTATCCTTTTAATTTTTTTCAATTAACATTTCATATATGTATTTACTCATTTATTCAATAAATGCTTACTGAGCATTTGCTTTGTTACAAGTCCTGTGCTGGGCACAATAGACACAGAGATAGATTAGCTCTCATTGAAAGCTCAAATGCAATAGGAAAAGATAGGTATGCAAGACAATTATAATGTAACATTGTATATATATCGAGTAGAGAAATGCATAGATAGGTAAAGGAGGACAGAAGAGAGGCACAGAGCTTATCGAGGTGAGAGTTAAAAGGATTGATTGTGATGGGACAATGGAAAATGAAATGTGTGAGGTCTGAGTGAGGTTGAATTCCATGGTTAGTAATTTCGATTTAATACATTAGATAGGGAATCATCTACTTATAGGATAAGCATGAATATGCTTGTGGCCATTTTCCAATATTTCTCTGTTTAAAATGTTTTTATTGATACAGGCATATTACCAGCACAGCACAAATTCAGTGAATTTGAATGATATGAAGGTACTTCAAAGATTTTGTGGAAAAAATTGTATTATCTTTCAGTTCTGTTTCCACACAAACTTTTTTTTTTTTTTTGTCTTTTTCCGTGTCCGGCAACGGATCGCAACCCTCAGCGTCGCCCCCGTACGGGACCGGGACCAGCAACGGGATCGCAACCCTCGGTGTTGCTCCCGCGCCTCGCTCAGCCAGTGAGCGGGAACCAGTCTGTATGTGGGATCCAAACCCTTGGCGGGAGCGCCACTGCACTTCTCAAGCGGCGCACTATAGCAGTGCGCCACTGGGCCGGCCCACCACACAAACTTTTTGAAGTTTTCTCATATTTGCCCTTCTTCTCATTTATCTGTATGTACTTTCCTGTCTTTTCCATGGATTTTTAGTAGAGATATTCTCATTTTGGTTAACAATTAGTGCACAGTTCTGTAGTATTTGAGGTCAGAATATACTAAATTCTTCTAGTGGTTTGGTAATTTTTTATGAAGTTTAAAATATCAATTGCTATTACTTCCATAGTGTTTGCCACATGTCAGGCCTTTTCTAATTATTTATATGAATCGTCTAATTTAATTTTGAAAGCAGCTAATAAAGAAATAGCTGTATACCAACCTCTGAGGATTGGAAACAAAGGCATGGACCGATTGAATAACTTGCCCAGGGTTACACAGTAGTTTGACTTTATAGTCCATGCTTTTAACCACTGTAGTAAACTGAATTTTTAGACTTTCTTGTTCAAGCTTCCGGTATTTCTTACAAGGTTACCTCATTTGGAAAAATTGCCTTGAATTTGACGTTACCTAGGTTCATATACAAATTTTCTTGAAACCCCATAGCTTAATGCACTGATAACTCTGAGACATCTACGATCAAGCTTTTTTTTCATTTGCCATTGTTCCTTTCAAGATGATATGGAAGATGTTTATCATTCCCCTCATAGTTTTGAAAGGAAAAATCTAAAATTTCATGATAATTTACTAGAAATAGTTCAGGTTTTGAAATAATTATAACTATTATCTGAGAAACTTTAAACATTGGATATTTGAAAATGGAATTTTGAATTATTAAAAATGCTGTGAGCTATTTAAGAAATGAGTACATAGGAAATACTTTGATGCATCGTCTGTTTTTATTTCCTTCCTCAATTTTTTTTCTAATTAGTAACCTGGACCTGGCAACAGATGAAGACTTTGAGTTTGATACATTATTACATTGTATCTCCTCTGAACTTCTTTCCTGGAATGGCAGTACTATATCTCCTGTAATAGGATTAAACCACCCTCTGTCTCAGCACCAAATATTTATTCATGTTATATTAGCTAACTATTTAATGCCAAACTGTTTGGAATTTAACACAAAGTACACTGCCCTACCTTTATTCTTTCTTCACATTGGAAAGAGAATACAATGTACAGAAAAGACTGAGTTTTGAAGCCAGGCGTTTCTCCTCTTCATTTAGCTTTATAATCTCGAATGAGTCACCCTTTCTGGACCTATTTCCTCATTTGTATATGCGTACCTTGTAAGATTTTTTTTTTTAATATGGTTTACAAAACTAACAAAGTCAAAGATAGCTGTAGAAGAGTACTTTGTACTCTTTCTCATATCTTATTCCTCTAAAACCAGAGTATTTGATAATTCTGAATCCTCATTGATGATTGTTTAATCCTGCACAGAAAATAGTGATACAGAGTAGGTAACAATAAATACAAACTATAATAATTACTATTTTTAGTAAAACACTGTAATAAAAGTCTCTTCTCCATATGATGAAAGCATAGACTATTGCTTACTAAAGGCAGTAGGACATGGATTACCAATATTCAGAGAATTAGAATACAATAAACTATTCTTTAGATCACATTATTCTAGTTTAGTTTAATTTTAGGGGATTCAGAAGATATCTCAAGATTTGGCAGCACCTTTTGGTCATCATTAGGAACATCTTTTTTTGGTAGTTGGATGCATAGAAATACCAGAAAATAGAATTTTGATTGATAAAATGCCAGAAGTCAGCTTTTGCTTTGTAATTTATCTCATCAAGTATTATCTTCAGTCTAAAGCATTTTGTACATTATGTACATATAAGATTTTATATATCATATACATATAAAGTAAACATATATGTGTGTGTGTGTGTGTGTGTGTGTGTGTGTGTGTGTGTGTGTGTGTGTGTGTGTGTGTGTGTGTGTGTGTGTGTGTAGAAACCCTTATTATAGATCAATTTTTTAACTCAGAATTTAAATTTCTTTTTGCCATATATTGTCCTGTAGACTTAACTGGTAGTAAAATGGGGTCTTGGAGCCAGATACAATAAGAAATCCAAAATGGGGGCCGGCCTGGTGGCGCACTGGAGAGTGCGGGCGCGACACCGAGGGTTGCGATCCCGTTACCGGTCAGTAAAAAAGACAAAAAGGAAAAAAAAAAAAAAAAATCCAAAATGGAAAAAAAATAGAGATGAAACCAGATCTAGATCCTAGACTTACTTGTTCTTCCTGAGGTTAACAGCTCTGATCTTCTGATCATGCTGTATTTCAAATCAATTTAAAAAGGAAAGGTGGACAGCAGTTTAGAACAGTGTAACCATTACACTGTGAAGAAGCAGTCTCTCATAATAGGATTGGGAACAACTTAGGTTGTCATGGTATTTAGTTCTTGCTCTGTGGCCTCTGCTTTCTAACTTGCTTCCAGTCTCAGAGGAGCCAAGTAAGGCCATGTCCTTCACTTCCCATGTTATTATAGGTTTTGTGCATGGGAAGAGTGCATTCAGAAGTTTAGTATCATTTCAAAATGATCTATTGTTGATACTCCTATCTCACTGGCCTCTTAGTTACTAATTTCCTCTGTCGTAGGTGGTGGTTGCATTTAGGATTTATATGATTTTTTTAAAAAATGAGATTTTGAATTTCTGGCATTTGCTGTTAACTCTCCCATTAATTCAATCTGGAACATAAAATTATGGTTTTTGTGTGTAGTTTTTTTACCTTTTGAATATGGATAATAATAACTGCTCCACTGAGCTTCAGAGTTTTCTTATGAGGTTAAAATGATAAAGAAGGTGGAAGTGCTTTCAGTGGTTAAAAGAGCTGTACTAAAATAGGATGATGTTTATCTACTCTTCTTACCTAGTTATCCTAGTTTCTGAGTTTATCTTTTCTAGTTATTTTTTTGGCATTCTGATGATTACTTAAATGGACTCAAGAACACATTTTATAGCATCTTATAGTGAATATACAGGAAGAACTTCTATTTGGTTTGGTTTTAAAAGTGCTGGGATGTGATCCAGAAAGGGTCAGAGCTAACTTTTGTGTGATTATACTTTCTTCTTGACTCTATACTACATTGTTCCTTTTCAATAGTAAATGAATTCAGGGAGGGAATATTACTTAAGCCCTATAGACTGTTTTAGTTCCTCGTACTTGGCATTCACTGTCCTCTCTCTAGCACTAATGTAATCATATCACAGCTCATAAAATTATTTTCAGACCACAAGTTGGTAAGAAATTGAGTTATTTCTTTGAAGGGCTGTTTGGGACATGTTCTTCCTGCATTTGAAACAGTCAACCTAATAATCTTTCTCAAATCATGTGAGAAGTTTTTTTTTTTGTCATATCAATCTTCATAATATATGTTCTTTCTTATACCCATTTGACCTTTTGTTTAGATTTTTCAAAAGATGAATATGCACAAGAATTCTTAGAATAAAATAAAATAGCTTCAGGAATAATGTTCATAGGATCAGCATACTAGCCATAGAGTATGAATAATAAATGAATTAAAGTATGAGCGTACTTCAAAAAGTTTGTGGAAGAATAGAATATGAAAAAAAATAAAAGATAATATGAATCTTTCTGTGAACTTTTCGAAGTACCCTCGTATTAGAAGAAAGACAAGTTTAAGATTTTACATATTTACTGTGGCTTGGATTAATGACTGGAAAATAACTATAAGCCAGTATGTCTAATTTAAAACACCTAATAGAAGGAATGAAGGCCTTCACCTCTGTATTTCAAAATGTTACGTGTATCTGTGAGACAGAAAGTAGAAGCAGAGTGGAGTGCATTTGATTGTGTGTGGGAAGGGAAAGAAAGTAGTAGTATTGTTAAGGTAGTAT